ACAGCCAATGAATGCCTCTTCGCCAACTTTCTAAGCATGATCGAACCAAAGAAGATTTCTGAAGCCCTACAAGACCCAAATTGGATAGATGCAATGTAAGAAGAACTACTCCAGTTTGAGAGAAACAAAGTGTGGTCCCTCATGCCTCTACCCAAAGGGAAGACGACCATTGGAACCAAATGGGTCTTCAGAAACAAAAAGGACGAATATGACATAGTAGTAAGGAACAAGGCCAGGCTTGTTGCCAAGGGCTGCTGCCAAGAAGAAGGGATAGGCTACGATGAGACATTTGCTCTTGTAGCAAGACTTGAGGCCATCAGGATATTCCTAGCCTATGCATCACACAAAGGCTTCAAGGTCTATCAGATGGATGTCAAGTCTTCCTTCCTCAATGGTAAGCTTCAAGAAGAAGTATATATGCAACAGCCCCCTGGGTTTGAAGATCCAAAGTATCCAGAGTACGTCTACTTTATGGACAAAGCCCTCTATGGGCTGAAACAAGCACCCAGGGTGTGGTATGAAACTCTCTCTACTTTTCTCATCGACAATGGATTCGAAAAAGGTACAATCGATACAACCCTCTTTCTCAAGAAGCATAAAGGTAACATACCACTTGTGCAAATATATATGGACGATATCATATTTGGTTCTACCAATACTAAATTTTGAGAAAAATTCTCAGAGCTGATGAAAAGCAAATTTGAGATGAGTATGATGGGAGAACTTAGTTTCTTCCTTGGTCTTCAAATAAAACAAACTCCAGAAGGGACTTTCATCAATCAGTCTAAGTATGTGACTGACCTTCTGAAGAAATACTCTCTCTCAAATTCATCATCGATGAGAACACCAATGGCTATAGGAGCAAAGTTGTTTGCGGATCCATCAGGCAAACCTGTGGATGCAACAACCTACAGAGGCATGATAGGATCACTCCTATATCTAACAGCTAGTAGACCAGATATTATGTTTGCTACTTGTCTTTGTGCAAAGTATCAAGCTAATCCTAAGGAATCTCATCTTTCTGCATCTAGAGGATCTTTAGATACCTCAAGGGAACCCCTTCATTGGGTCTCTGGTATCCTAAGAACTCTGGATTTGATCTAATAGCTTTCACAGATGCAGATCATGCAGGTTGCAAGCTTGATAGAAAGAGTACGTCTGGAAGTTGTCAACTCTTAGGGGAAAAGCTGGTAAGATGGATATCAGGAAAACAGAATTGTGTTTCAACCTCTACAGCAGAAGCAGAATATGTTTATGCTGCTAGTTGTTGTTCATAAGTCCTCTGGATGAAGACTCAGCTTAAGGACTATGGCTTTGAATATGAAAAGATTCCCATCCTCTATGACTCCAAGAGTGCCATAGCCATCTCTGCAAATCCTGTGCAGCATTCCAAGACCAAACACATCGATATAAGGTACCACTTTCTGAAAGACAATGTCGAGAAAAGGTACAATAGAGATGTACTTTGTTCCTACAGAGATTCAACTTGCTGACATTTTCACAAAAGCTCTTGATGAGAAAAGATTTTAATTTCTTGTCAGCAAGATGGGTATGCTGAATCTCATCATTTAGAGGCAATCCATAGTTTGAAACCAGAGATCCTTAACATCTCATGGTTATGCCTACAAGTGATATATCATGTTGGCCATAATCCCCAAGTACTCTAAACCAGAGCCTCTGGTTCTAAAGACCAGAGCCTCTAGCCAATTAGAAATACTTGTTTAAATTTTGGCCAAACATTTTCATCGCCTTTGGAACCAGAGCCCATCTGGTCTAAAGCAAATGCTTTGTGATTTTTCACTAAGCACCCCCTTCATAACTAGAGCCTCTGGTTATATAGACTAGAGCCTCTGGATTCCAATCCTTTAAGACCAGAGCCTCTTTGGTCTCAAACTTGGTCTCCCTCATTCATTCATACAGATAACTTAGTGTTAAGACCTTTAGATTTAGCTTATGATATTAATCAAATACTCTGGATGATCTTTAAGAACAATAACAGTGCAACGGAAATAGTATAAGAACAAACAAAGTAATTAATCAATCAAGAACACAGATGATGAAAATGAAGAACACGAGAGAATAGCTTCAAATGATTTTCAATTCTATTGAAAATATTGACAATTACAATACGGAAGTGCCACCAAATTACAAAGGCCTAGCTGCTATTTATACTAGTTTCTAACAACTTTTCTGACATGACCTAGACAAGTGAAATGATCTAAGCCATTCAAATAAAGCAGATTACAAACATAGTCACGTGATAAGCACGAGCAGCTAACAAACCTAAGTAAAGCAGTGAGAAGTGGTTCTTCACAGAAGATAAACTGCAGACCCTCTGTGAGCCATCCCAAAGGCTCTGCTGGATATGACTTGTAAACACTTGATTCCAGAGGATAAGTTTCCAGAACCTCTGTGAGAGACAGCAGAGGTTATGTCATTCTTGACTTGTACGCTTTTGTATATCTTCTGTTGTTGGT